AGGAAAGGAAAGGAAAGGAAAGGAAAGGAAAGGAAAGGAAAGGAAAGAAGAAAGAAGGAAGGAAAGCCTTTTCTTGCAAGTTTTGAGTAAGAAAGTAAAAAAACATCCAAAACAGAGCTTCTTTTCTCTCAGAGACTACACTTGCAATGTCACAAGATGTTTGCTCACCGATATGTTGTGTGAGGGATGTAGACTTCTCGAACAGGGAATTCAAGGATCTCCTTGGTGGGTCGGACACGCAAATCAGGGTAGGGCTTGACATGCAACAGTTCAGGTGAGAGGCAATAATGGGGGTTTTCTGGCACTGGTGAAATATCAATCTTGAATTGAGCTGTGATGCAAAAACAATAGGAATGTAAGAATGATTTACTGTACATACAGAGCAACATGTCTAGACAGGCATCAAGCACAAGGACTGACCATGGACAACTAGAAGATGGGGAGACGCTGAGATCCATCTTTAATATCCCATGTGAAGCCATTCTGAAGCTGAAGAGCGAGCACTAGAAGGTGTCAGAACAAGAGCTAGACTACTGGAACTAGCAGAGATAGAACTGACCCTTCACACACAGATCTTCATGTACAATGCTAAGGTATAATATGCTTTGTTTTGTAATAGTATTTCCATGTGGTGGGACTTATCTCCAGGGGGATGAGTCTGATTACTGAGATGAAGTGGACCGGTTGCTTTCGTGGTGTGGAGACAATAACTTGGTCCTCAACACCAATAAGACGAAGGAGCTTATAGTGGACTATAGAAGGAACAGATCAGACATCCAGCCTGTGCTTATCAATGGAGACCGAGTGGACCAAGTGGCCAGTTTTATGGATATTACCATAAAAGAGGACCTTACCTGCGGTGCTCACATTGCAGCACTGGTCAAAAGGGCCCAGCAGAGATTAAACTACCTGAGACTTCTCAGAAAACAACTAAATGGAAAACTGCTGGTAACCTTCTACTTCTGCCCCATAGAGGGTATCTTAATGCACCTCTGTATGGTTTGCCAATTGCACAGTGGCAGATAGGAGAGCACTCCAGAGGGTTAACATCATTGCCCAAGAGATCACTGGTTGCCCTCTCCCCTCTCTGGAAGAGCTTTATAGCTCTCGCTGACTTAAGCAAGTTCAAAACATTCTTAAAGATCCATCTCATCCTGGGCACCTTTTTTTTAACTATTACCATCTGGCAGACGGTACGGAATAATAAAAACAAGGGCAAATAGTCTGAAAAACAGCTTCTATTCCAGGGCAGTAGCTCTGTTGAATTCTAATGTAGAGTGCAGTGTTGGTGTGGTGTTGGGGTTTTCAATTCAATGTGTGGAGTGTGAAGGATGTGTGTTTGTGTTTAGTTTCATGGTCATGATGTACACTGAAAATGGTGTTTGATTTCATTGTACGAGATGCAATGACAAGAAAGTAAACTAACTTAGCATTGAGCATGGAGATCTATGTGTGAAGGGGTTAATTCTATGTGTGAAGAGTCAAGGGAATTCTGAAAAACTATGGATTAGCCATTAGCCATAGAACTGGGATTTAGATTACAAAAACCATTGGCAGAGATGGGTGGATATAGAAATTGAATGAATGAATGAATGAATGAATGAATGAATGAATGAATGAATGAAT